AGGCCTGCCTCCGGGGACGCGCCGGGGCGCCTGGCCCCGCCCGCCGCAGCGCCTCTCCCCGCCCCGCTCCGGCTCGGAAGTGCGGAGCAGCGCGACGGGCCCTCGCCCCTCCTGCCTTGCGCGGCGCAGGTCGCGGGGTCCGGCCTCGAGTTTCGCGCGGAGGGCCGCCTGTCTTGCGGGAGGTTTTGCCTCTGCCAGGGCGCGAGGAGTTCGGGCCGAGTGCGCACGACGCCCGTTTACTATAAGTAAATGCATCAATAAATGAGTATTATGTATTCAAATGAATGCACCTACAAATACATACATACATGTGCTGCCTTCTGAATCAAATTAGCCGCCCGGCTTGCCCAGAACCCCTGGCAATGGCTTTCCAGCGCCCTGAGCACAGGGGCCTCCCAGGTGTACCTGGAGAAGGCCCGGGCAGGGCCTGAGAGGTGCGTTCAGAGGACAGTGGCACCTCCGCTCACGAATGCCTCGGTTCACGGCCAAAGCGGGTCGTGAACAAACATTTCATGAAAATGTTGATGTGGGTCGCGCACGCCACATTGGGTCGCAACCAAGATCGCAGCCATCTCCCCCCGCCCCCGAGTGGGGAGATGCCCACGATCGCGGTTGCGCTTGTGCAGGAAAGCCGGGCGCGACCACGGCCATCTCCCCCCCCCCCACAACCAGCACGATCGCGCCCGTCTCCACCCCCAGCACGCCCCGTTTGCGCCCGTCTCTCTCCCTCTCCCCCAGTGCACCCACGATCGCGCCCATCTCTCTGCACCCTCCAGCGCGCACCTGCAGGGGTGACGGGCGCGATCTCAGTCGTGCTGGGGGTGTGGGGGGAGATGGCCACGGTCTTTATTGTTGTCACTTTGCTTCACATTTTTCTGATTTAAAAAATGGTTACAGAACAGATTGACCTGATTTACATTGAACCTTGTGGGGAGATTTAATTTGGCTCACGACCAGTTTGGGTCACGACCGGAGTCCTGGAACGGATGAAGTTCGTGAGCCGAGGTGCCACTGTACATTGTCCAGCAGTGAGCCGAAGGCCTTCCCCCCATGCCACCTAGGTTCAGGCAATGCCATTAGACCCAGCGGGCAAAATAGGGTTAAATTGCCAACATTTTGAATTTAAAACCTTTTTACTGGTTCCCAAAGTTATTGCATTTTGTGCTTGGATAAATTATTTAGAAAGAGCAAAAGACTTCTCAAAAGAATTACACTTTCCTGGCTTGTTCGGCTGTTATATTTATTTTATTTAACTTCTGTCCGGCCCAGTATCCAAAGCTCTCTCAGCAGTTTACAACTGTTCCCAAACAGGACCGTGATACAATAAGAACAACCATAAACATTTTCCATATACAAAATGCTAAGACAGTTTTTGCAAACTTAACACAACTTAGCAGCAAAATAACACTTGATACGAAATAGACCTGCTAAAAATACGGGAAAGGCGTAGTTCGCCAAGCAACTGGTTAGACCTTCAATGTGTTCAAATGCCTCAGCCAGGGCAGAACGGATGACAAGCTGCCAGTTCCAGGCAAGCTTCAGGGCCAAAGAAAGACGGGGGGTTGAAGCAAAACACTCGCTTTTGTCCTCCCCACACACAATCAAGCACGAATGTTTATAGGGTGTAACAACAGCAGAAATACAAAGAGCACAACTGGCAGAAGGGGGGGGGGTCTCCTTTTGGACCAATAAGCACGCTGCTCACAGTTTGCATTCTTGTCTAGACTTCCAATAAACAATCTTATTTCCCCATTTTGCGGGTGGGAAAATGTACTTACTTCCAGTGACCCATCTCTTTACCCCATTCTTATTCTTATATTGCATTCATATCTGGCCCCTTTTCCTCTTGCAAGAAACCCAGGGTGGCTCACAGAGTCCTCCACTCCATTTTACCCTCACAACAACAACCTTGTGGGGTAGGCAGGCTGAGAGTCTGCAGAGGACTGGATGAGCTGGAAGCTGATATCAGATGCCCTTTCCTCTCCCTCTGGTGGTGACCCTCGAAGCTTCCCTTACAGTTGGCACACCGAGGAAGACCTCTGTGGCTGAGCAAAATTGAACCGGAAACCCACCCTGCATGAGGACACCCTGAGACCCCTCTTCTGCTCCTTCTGGAAGGCAGTCCTTCCATCGATTCTCCAGCGAGGACCCCGAAAGCCAGGGTCTTCCGCCATTCCTCTCTAACCACCGCAGCGGTCTCTCACAAAGCACCTACAAAAATCCCTGGGAATGGGATTTCGGGTTTCTCGGAGTCAGCCATCCTGAATGACCTTTAGGCAACACCTGATGACATCGGTAATCACTTCCCCCATCCACTGAGCAGGCCATACAAGTGTTTAGTGATGTGGTGGGGGGGGGGGGTATCAGTGACCATGTTTGGACAAAGCATTGCAAGCAGCGTGGAAAGGTGGCCAAGACTTTTGGGGTCTGTCTCGCTTCAGACTTTTCCTAGCCCTGGAGGTGCTCAGCAGCACTGCTGGGCCCAAACTTAACAACAAGGGTAAGAGTTTGTGCAGCAGGCTGGGCTGGGCTGGGCTGGGCTTGGAGCAGTCCTCACCAGCTGCGAGGTCACCAGTGGCTTGCTGTTGGAGCGCAGTTGCAAAGTGCAGCGGCTTGGCCAGGCTGACCGAGTCAAAGGCCTTGAAGCTGCTGCCCAGGCGGTTGCCCAGCAGCGCAATGAGCAAGCCAGCCAACCGCTCGGGACCCGGCTCTGTGCAGGACGGGCCCCGCCATCGCCATCCTGTCTACCCCAGCCTCTCCCCTGAGGGAGTCGGCACTATCGTTTGGAGGGTTTCTCTGCCAAGCGGCTGCCGGGAGCCTGACTCTGCAAGAGCAGCCTTAAACTGAAGGTGGGATTCCTGCTTGGACCAAGAATCACTCTGCAAGTCCGGCTTCCCACCGACACCTTAAATATGCTGGTATGTGCCTGGCCTGAAGCTTCTCCCTTGGGAGGCACACCCTGCTGCCCCCCGTGCTGCCTGCCCTGAACGTTTTCCCCTTTGTGTCACCTCCATCCATGCAGCCCTCTTATTCTGTCCTCGTGTGCCTCCACCAAGCCGTCCACCTGATCCCAGACCCTACAGGTAACGGACAGGTTCCACACGCATCCTATACAGACCCCATCTTTGTAGTCCCTTCAGGCTTTCTGTATTTTCTGCATGTCTGAACAAACTGTCAATATTCTTTGGCTTGGGTACCCCCAGGGGACCAGGCGGCTTTCCCAGTTTTCTTGTCAACTGCACAGTGGCTTATGGAAATCAGGACAACACATCCAATATGGGCTTCTGCAGCACATGATAAACACGCACAAACACACTGCATCTCCCCTTCTGCTTAAATCTCCTGGAACATTTTATTCTGCTTTCATTTTCATGCGAGACCCACCATGTGTCAGGAATGCGTTAGAGACGGCCTTCTTCCACCGAGACAACTCTCAGGGAACAGCTTGGGGTCTGAAAACAAGAACAGTGCCTGAATAATCCTCATCTTATGCACAATTATTGCTCGCACACAATTATGGCCCGTTCCTCATATAAAAGTTTTAAAAAATAAAATTTTAAAAATTACATTAAAATTAAATTTTGCACTGAAGACTCAATAGTTTGCTCTTGGTGTTTTGAAAATCAGGAGCAGTGAAGAACAAGAGCCAAAATAACATCCAGTGAACCTTCAGGAAATTGACTTCTTGGAAGTGTTCCACATCTAACACTAAATGCAGCGTGTAAACCACACAAAACGTTGCGAGATAATACCTGATGGACGCCAGCTTCTCAAGCGATATGAGTTTTGTTTGCATCTTTGCTTATGAGAAAGAGGAAGGGAGAGTGAGGTGAGCTGGATATTTTAAGGGTCAGACTTCTTTTACTTCTACTGGAGGAAGTATTCTCTTCTCTGAAATCCCGATGGTGAAAGCTGTGTGTGGGAAATGTGTGTTCTAATGGGCTTTTAGTACAAGGTTCTGGTGACCCAAAGTTGTGCGGAGGGACAGGGCTAGCACAAAGCGATTGTTTTGGATTATCACAGGAAACAGCACAGGAATCTAAGGATGTGTTTCTCATCGTACTTATACAGAAGGAAGTACCTTTGAAAAAAATGGACCTTACTCCCAAGGAAAGAGCTTAAAACATTGCAGCATGTACAGTACTGTAAGCTTCACATATATATATACCGAATATTCTACAACCTCCAGAGAGGTCTCCGCATCACCGGCAGCCACACTGGTCAAGGAACACCATAGTGCATTAAAAACGAATGAGTTTGCGGAGGGGCTGGCGAGCCGGTGCGCCTCCGTGTGCACAGAGAGTGGGCCGCCTGGCTTCTCTCCAGAATTCCCACTGGAAGCTGAGCCGGGCTATGAGGGAGGGGAGGGGGTTGCCCTCAGCCCCGCTTCTCCACGGTACTTCTTACTGTTGCTGAGAGAAGCCTGCTTTTTGTGGGAACAGCCTTTGCCCCTCCCCAGGGAGAGCTTCTAGCTCCAGTCGCTTCGCTTGGTCTCGCGGATGCAATGGGAGCGATTCAGGGCCGAGCTCGGCTCGGTCGGGACAGCCTGACCTGGTGTTTATTCCACAGTCATGATAAAACGGTGACAAAGGTGAGTCATAGGGCTTAGCTCTTTTATTGATTGACCTGAAACAGGTTTTTGGCGATATCAAGTGCATTGTTTCTGAAGTGCGAATGTCTGAGGCACAAACAACTGTGTGGAACCTGTACTTGCACTTGTGGTTGTGGTTGTTGTTTTAAATTAACCAATAGGACAACTGTTAAAAGCTGCAGGCCAATCAAGTCATAGAATCATAGTGAATTATGGCAATAATCTTCCCCTGGAGACTTTTAGAAGAGGAGGAATGTCTCTCACAGGCAAAACCGAGGTGCTGGAGGCTCCAAGCTCGCTGAAATGTCTCTTTTGTTCTATGTCTAATTTCCCCTCAAAGTCCTAACTTGTGAAAAGGTCCTTCCTTATGTTCCTGTTTTGTCTTGGACGCTGGAGAGGGTCACTCCCTCTAGTTTACTGAGATATTGATTTCTGGTCCTTTTTCTTGGTACATAAGCTCAGTCTGAAAAGGAAGAGATTAAAAAGGAGTTAATGAAAGGATCAGCGAGGTTACACGGTTCGACATGCCACCGTTGCACATTTCCCTGACCCTGAAAAACCCTCTTCACGAAAGCAGATGGGACGGACGAAGATCACAAGTGGCCCAGCTCTCATGAGCGTGAGGAAGGACAGAGAAACAGTTCCAACTTGGGAACAGAATTCCAGTTTGGGACAAGTCTCAGGGAGGCTTTCTAGAGGTGGTCAAAGAAACAACTGTGTGACTCAAAGAGCAGTAGCCTCATCAACGATCGAAGCACAAGGCCAAAGTGGGGGTGTGCTTCCAAACACAAAACCACTTTTCTGAACCCAAATAAAGATGGTGCCGGAGGGGAGCTGTCCAGCATGTCAGCCTCGCAGTTAAAACAGGCATATTATGAGAGGAAAGAGACATCCAGGGGCCAAGGAGCCTGGTGGGTGCCAAGAGAAGTGTCCGCAGGGACATCAACGCCCCCAGTTGCTCTGTGGGAGACCCAGGCCTAACCAGGGGCCCTTCCTCTCCATTCCTCTTCCCAGCTGGAGGCCTCTGATCTGGCCCTGGAAAGAGATCCCACCGTTTCTTTGAGGAACTGCGATTTGGAAAAGCTCTGCGCCTTCCAGGAGCACCGACACGGGGACCTGAGATGGCAGAACCAGGTTGGAGGGAATGCAGAAGGCCCAGCATGCACTGCACAGCGAGCAGCGAGGGTCAGGGGCGCAAGGACGTGGTTGACGCCATCCCATTCCTAGGCCAGGCCTTCCCTGTGCGCAGCCGGCACCGTCTCGTTCTCCTCGGACATACTCAGATCAGGGGACGAGAACCTGGAATTTCCACCCGCTTCGTCCAGCTCCCAAGGAGCTCAGCCACCCAGAATGCGGCCACGCTCACCTCTTCGTCACCACTCTCTTCCTGGTCGCATGTCCTCTTCAGCTTTTCCTCTTCCTCTTGCCTGTCCTTTTCCGGCATAATGTCGTCCAACCAACTCAGGTGATTCAAGGGGAAGATGCGTTCCATCGCCTTCCGCATGCCAACGAGCGCCAGCAGCTACATGGCCAAGCAAATCTCAGAGAATTAGCACTGCGGTCGTTGCTGACGATTTACACAGAGCAACATATGAAGAGACAACGCAGATAAGGGGGTCGTATGGATAAGGGCAGCCGCGTGCGCTTGGGTCTTGCTTTAGCTGGAATTAAAGACTAGGTGCTTGAGCCAAAGCTTCGTGGAAAAGCTTGGCTCCAAGGAGACATTTGGCAGAGGAGAAGGCGCGGGTGTCTGAGGAGGGAGGGATTCCAGGCGCCGGCTCAGTGAGGGAGCACCGTCCAAGTCCGTTCAGTGGGCAAGAGACCTTGGGCAGTGGAGGATGGGCGAGTTGCAGGGCAGGAAGCAGGAACATGGGGAAAGCAAAGAGTTGGAGAAAGTTAAGAAGCACGTGCCGCGTTAGGAATTTGAGGAGAAGCACATGCTCACGTTTTGGAGAGACGTTTTGCTTCAACCGGAAAGGGAATTTCATGTTGCACAAGCGGGGTTAATACAAAGCTCACTCTTTCCATGCACCGCAGAAAAGGGCAAGAGAAGAAGGCAGGCAAATTTTCCGGCTGTGTGCACAGTTTGTTGGACAAACCTCGAGAAAGTGCTTCTGTCTTGAAGGATCTTGCTTACCATCAGGGGGAACACAATGGCGGCTGCTGTGGACTTGAGGATCCACAAGGCAGCCAGGCAGAGCACTTGAATGAAGGTGAAGAGGTGCACCTGTCGCAGCGGGACGTGGCGGAGGTAAATGAGGTCGGGCTGCTGCTTGGCCGGCATCAGCAGGAGCTGCAGTCTGCCCACCAGCTGGGAAGCATCAAAGCAAAACCTTTCTGTACACCGCACGGAGCGACTCTGGCCTCCAAGAGCGGCGTCGTGAACAGCCGCGCACGGGACGGCTTGGTTTTAACGCAAGAACGTTCAGCGAGCCTAAGCACGTCCATCTGACAGAGCAGCAACCAGGCCTAAGCCGGCCGTGCAGTGACGGGACTCCCCTCCTGGGCCATCAGCCCAGCTCTAACTTCTCCATCCACGTTTGGGAGGTGGTGGTGACGATTTCAGAACTGGCCTGCCCAACAGGAGGAAAATTAAGCCTGGAGCACCATAAATTATACCATGTACTGTGCCGGCTGCCTCGCTTCTTTAGGCACCCCTGCGATGGCAATTTGAATTAGGAAACCTCAGGCGAGAGTTCGTCGTCGATCCCGCAGGTAAGCGGGGCTTCCTTCCCGCCATACCGCTGCTGCAACAACTCTCCGTCCCAGTGAATCATTTGCCGGCGCAGCCTCGGACCTTGCCCCTTCCCCTGCGATTCCAAAGAGTTGCCACCCACCCACCCACCCACCCGCTGGGCTCGCGTGTCACCTGAGCTGGCTACCGATCGCTCACTCTGCCGGAAAAGAAGATCAAACAAACCTGCAAACCGCTTTGGGCCTCTCTCGGGTGTCCTTTCGCCATGAACTCTCAAGAAAGAAACCCACCCTGAGGCTCAGAAGGGGTGGGGGAGGATCGCTCCCCCTGGCCTGAAGGAGATGGCGAGGGCCAGGAATTTCCCCCACTCACTTGTCCTCACTTCTGGCTGCCCGATGAATGTGAATAGGAAGATGGACTGCAACATTTATGGCCAAGCAGTAGAGCAAGAAGGGACATTTCTGCAAACTTCATGGCAGGGAAAATCTTATAAATTTTTGCAGATACCTTCCCAAAGGTGTTCTGTCTAAAATGTCTGGAAGGCAGCAAAGTGGAAGATGATTGCAAGGGGGAAGTATAAGAATAGAGGTAGCCAAACAAACAGTGTGAGAATTGTGGTCTTTTGCTCTTCTGCGAGAACCGGAATGGGTTTTTAATTGCGTGTGAATTCATTCTTGTGTCTGGAAAATTTCCTCTGTCCTTTTGCACTCACCTGAATACTGCTAAGTGCAGACACACCCATGTAGAGGAAAATGCCATACAGCACCGGCATTGGAATAAACTGGAGAAAACCAAATTCAAAGTATAATTAGGGTTCGCACTAGGCTTTCCTTGCAAACGATGCTCTGTCATCCTTCACTTTCCAAGTCAGTCCACGGCTGATTCCTGCCGCTTTCGTGACTGTGTTCCAGGGAATTCTGGCAGGCCTGCAGCTGGATCCCGTTCCCTTTCTATACCACCCCTTCCTATACCCAAACCGCTTCTACTCTGACCCAAACCCATTTCCGGAATGCTAAGGAGTAATCAGAGATCTAGAGGAGGGAGGGAGGGAGGGAGACCGTTCCAGTCCTTTCCAGAAGTATATCATGCTGGATTGGTGGCTGTCCATCCGCCAGGGCCGAAAACCACCCAAGTCTTCAGATGGAGGCACACCCGACTGGCAGAGAGGACCGGCGAAACGCCGGCAGATATCTCTGAGGACAGCTATTGGCACAATGCCCTCGCGCAGGGGCCGGCCTGCCTCCCTCGGGCGCCCGAGGATCCCCGCGTGTGTGAGGACACACACGCTCGCCTCCAATGGGAGCCACGGTTCCCTCCGGTCCAATAGCAGATGCTTCCCTACCTTGAGCACCGGCGCCAGGAACACAGACAGACCCGTGAGGAGGAAAACCAGCAGTCCGGTCACCCGCTGCTCCCTGCGGCCAAGAGGGCTCTGGGTGAGGCCTTTGGATCCCGCTGTTCCAGCCCACCCGCCCTGCGCCAGGCCTGCTTGCCGGAAGCCGAGGGGAGATCCGTGGCCCGTACCTGATGCCCAGGAACGCGGGCTGCTCGCCCGGCGCGCAGGTGGCGCCTTCCTTCTTCAAGCTGTCCATGTGAGCCAGGGAGATGACGGTGGCCGAGACGTACCAGGGCAAGCCCATGACGGACGTGAAAATCATCAGAAGGGAAACGCAGAAGAAGTCCAGGTGGAAGCCAGCACCTTTCTGTAACGAGACAGCGACGTCAGCCTCCAGAGAAGACACGGCGCGTCTCCTTTTTCAGTTCGGGTATCCTTTGGCTGATTTTCATGCATCCCTGCTGTTGGCACAACTTATGCTGCTTGTAGGATTTGACTTTCGGGCCTGCAGAATTCTGGTTTCTTACTAAGTTTCCTTGCAGTGGCCAAAACCGTCTCCCTTGAAGTCAACTCGGGGACTTCCACACTGATAGTCCTAGCACTGCTTGAAGGCATTCTGCAGATATCCTGCCTTTTCTATCCTAATGGATTATCTGGGTAAGAAGAAAAAATGGCGGGAACAGCGGAGAAGCACAGGTGGGTCGCGAGCGGAAGGCTGTTATGTCTGCAACTCTGTAAAAAGAACCAAACGCATCGATGCAAGATGAGGAATACGTGGCTCAACAGAACTGAAAAGAAAAAGATCTCGGAGTAATTGTGGCCAATAGGCTAAACATGAGTTAACAATGCGATGCAGCCACCAAAAGGGCAAATGCTATTTTGGGATGCATAAGCAGAAGTATTACTTCCAAATCATGAGAAGTGGTAGTTCCTCTATACTCCTCACTAGTCAGACCTCAGCTGGAATACAGTGTCCAGTTCTGGGCACCAAGATTTAAGCAAGGTGCAGGTAAATTAGAAAAGGGTCCAGCGGAGGGCGAGAAAAATGAGCCAGGGTTTGGAAACGCTGCCCTGTGAGGAGAGCCAGGGAGAAGTGGGCATGTTCAGCCTTGAGAAGAGAAGACTGAGGGGGACATGATCTCCCTCTGTAAGGACCTCCAAGGCTGTCACAAGAGGAAGGGGCAAGATCTCTTCCTGCTGATGCCAGAGTGCAGGACACGGACTAACCAGTTCAAGTTGTGACAACCCGGTTTCAGGCTGGTCATCAAGAAAAGCTTCCTCACTGTCAGAGCAAAAGGGCAGTGGGACCAGCTGCCTGGAGAGGTGGGGGGCTCTCCCACACTGGGGACCTCAAGAGGAACCTGGGCAGCCCTCTGAGTGGGATGGTGTGACTCGGTGTCCTGCAGCAGCAGGGGGTTGGACTCGATGGCCTTCACGGCCCCTTCCAGCTCCACTATTCTAGGATTCTATGAAAATGTGGTGCATGAGGCAGTGTGCTGTTGCCATAAAATTCTGCTGTGGAAGCAACTTTGTAGGAGCAAATAGGGCGAATTGGAGAAAAGGATGACACAAGCTGGAGAAAAGCTGCTATGAATTCTTGGAAGCGGTTGTTTCTGTCGGAATGTTTCTAGTGTGTGACAGCTATGTTCTGGCTCCTTCTGCTGTAATAAAATTGATCGATCGATTAATTGCCCTGTCTCCTGCCTCAGCTTCTCCACAGACAAGAGCACCTTCTCAAGACAGGCTTCCTGAAGACAGAGACCTGTTTAAGGACCACATGGAGAAGGCAACACAGGGCATCCCTCAGACTTCTCAAAGACTTTTTTCTATAAAGGTCAGTTTCACTGTGACCCTGCCTTCCTCTGCCCCCCGTCAATTGACCGCATGGCTATCAGCACCAGCAGTACCCAGAACTCACATCCACTTAGGGGCTGCCTAAGCCATACCAGAGGTCAAAGGGGCAGAGGACGGAGGCACTGGAGCAACAGTCCCGGGTCTCCAACTCCAGGAATAAAAGGGTCGGAAAGCTTTGCTTATCGCTACGAACAAAGCCTCCCCTTTGGAGTTAGTCACCAACAAGCTTTGCCATCAGTCACCCTTTCAGGCTTGTGGCTTGTGGCATCCCAGCTGCTGGGCCTCGGATCACGTCTGTCTGAGGACTCCTCAGCAACGCCCGCCCGCCTTCCCATGAAAGCGCGCAACCTCCCCGGGCACAGCCGCTGCCTCACGGGACCACGGAAGCTGCGCGGAGCAAAGCGCTTCCCAGCGGCTGCTTCCAGGCGGCTGCTTCCCCAGGCATTCACTCTCCAGCCACAAGAGCAAGCCGGAGGAGAGCAGCCCAAGAGGGCGTGTTCCCCACCCGCTCGGATGGGCGGATGCATCAGCCTCCCTCCCCCGGCAAGGATCCCCCTTTGGCTGCCGTGGATCCGCTGGGGCCGAGGCACACCTGCATCTGCGGGAGCCTGCGAGGGAGACGAGGCTACACGGGCCCGGCCAGGTGTGCTCCAGAAGGCGAGCCTGAGCAATGCCCGGCACTCCCAGGCACAGTGCAACCAGCGTAACCAGTTCCTGCTCGCACGGCGTGGACTGGATCATCCCTCGGGCGCAGGACGCCGTGGCAGGCGGGAGAGTGCGGCTGCCAAGTCCGCCCGCGCAGCAAGGTGTGCTTGCAGCCACGGAGTGGGCTGGGGATGGCGTTCTGCCCCCACGAGGCCACGCCCGGAGTCGGCGGGACCCCGAGGAGGCACACTGCCAGCCCCCTTGGCGGTGCCCCAGGGAAGCCAGGGCGCGCGGCTCCCCTCAGGCCCGCGGTGGCTGCAAGGGGAGCCCTGTGCGGGCTGGAGCGCGGCGTGGCTGGGTCGGGCAAGCGCTGACCTGCAGCTTGTACTCCTTGCGGTTGAGAATGACGGCGGTGATTTGCTGGTCCATGAAGATGAGGATGATGACCAGGACGGCAGGCACCGCCGCCGCCGGGTAGATCCACCAGGCGTTCGCTCCAAACGGGGGCACCAGCCAGCCGCGCGTGGGGTTCGTGGGCTGTGGGGAACCGGTTGGGGAAAGTCAGTGGGGCGCAGGGCAGAGCGAGGCAGCTCCTTCACCTCCCCCACAGATACCTGGCAGGGGAGCTCCAAGCCCCTGCCCTCTCCACCAATTAACCCATCGGCGACGGCAGGTTGGGGGCAGAGCGGTCTCCACCTGACCAACCTACCAATCGCCTCACGACAGCACCTGAGGGATGCCGGGCTGGTGCAGTGGGATTTCCTTTAGAAGCTGAGTGGGTTCAGGAATATATTCCTTCTTATGAAGCCTATACTATGCTGTCTGTTGACTTAAAATATTTATATACCATCCATAATCCATATAGGGTCTCAGGATGGTTTATGTGAAGACAAGAAAAGAAACATAAAACCCACAGCGGCACTTAGAATGCAATATACAGTACACAAAGTATAAAGCAACATCATTTTAACTATTGCAAAACTGGGTAAATTAAAAGGGCTTAGGCTGGCGCCAAAATGGGTAAAGGGGCAGTGCCAGGCGTCTCTCTCCTGGGAGCAGATGCCAGTCGGGTGCTGCGCCCAACGGCCCCGGGACGGGGACCTCAGCCAATGGCCTGGGCAGGTGTGCATGAGCCAGGCGAACAACCGGGCACTGCTGCCCAGGGTGCGCCTGGCCTCAGCAGGGCGGCCAGGATGCGCCGGCCCATCGTATCCTCACCGAGACCCCTCGGCGGCGTCTCGGCCTCCCAGGCACGAGGCCCAGAAGAACGAGGCTTTCCTACCGCTGCCAACATGACCCCCCCTTGCCCGCACTTCTCTCCCCACAAGCCAGAGGAGAAGCTGCAGGGCCCGAGCGCTGGGAGGGCACAGCTGTTTGGGAGGAGCAGTCTGAGCGCCTCCGCCTTCCCCTCGGCCGGGCCGCCCGCCCTGCGCAGCCCCGGCACTTCCCCGGCGCCGGCCAACGGCTTCGGCGCAGCTTGCTGCAAGGAGAGGCGCGTGAGGGAGCTTCTTGCCCCTCCCTTGCTGCACGTAGGCCGGGAAAGCTGCTAGTCCTCTCCGCCCAGGCCCGCAGCAGCGATGTGGGCCGCCAACCGGCTCCTGCCTGCCTCCATGCGCCCCATCACCAAGCCATCGCCTGGCCTGGCCCAGGTGCACGAGCAGCAGGCGGCACCTGCCGGGAGCCTCAGCGGGTGGCGGGACTCTGCCCGAGCGTCACGGCCGCAGCCACGGCCGTCGGCGGCTGGTGATGGGCACCCCGGCTCTCGGGCGAGCGGCGAGACCCTCAGCGGGCAAGGAGTGCGTCACGCAGACGGCTTCCCCCGGGGAAGGGATCCTGCAGCCTCGTGAGCCAGACCTGCACCAGGCTGTGACAAGCCGTTGGGCCGCCTCTGACTGACGGCACCCCCAAGAAGGGAAGCCCTCCAGGATGTGGGCCCCCGAGCGCTTTTGCCACGGCTGGCTTCCGTGGAGAACTCTTCGTAGTCCAGCTGGAGAAACTGACAAATGTGCTCAAGGCCGTGATCTCTCACCCAGGCATCCAACTCCCCTGGGAAGTGGGCGTGGAGCCGTCTGAGGCTGCAGCCCTGGCCTGTCTCCTCAGGTGCGAGCCCCGTTTTGCAATCCATGAGCATGATCTCTGAGCAAACTTGAGCAGGCTTGATGCCCAGGTTGCAGAACAGGAATGGGCAACGTGTGGCATTCCAGATGCTTTGGTAACATGTGAACCGTCGGCCAAAACATCTGGAGCGCCACAAGCCACTCACTTCTGGGACAGAAGATATTCCTGAGAGCAACGGAATCAGTCTTTGCACAGCGACGCGTGTGGAACTTTATGGAATGATCGAAAAGGGGACGGAAGCATTTGAAACCTGGCATTTGAGACAAAAGGGAGGAGGAGGAGGGGGGCAAGAGGAAGAGGAGGAGCCAAGCATGAATGCATGTTCCGGATCGGGGCCCAGCCAAGCTCCAGGAAAAGGTGGGGAACTGGGTCGACTCGAAAGCCACCCTCCCCGTGGCTCCACAGCCCCGCGAGGGCCACTGGCTGACTGAGTTCCGAGTCGATACCTGTAGCAGGACCGGCCGCTCGCTTAATGCCTGTTGCGGCTACCTGAGGGCACCTGGCACACGCAGGCAGGCACAAAGCCCCGTCCAGCTGCGGCATGTTTTCCTCTTCAGCAGGTGCTCTGCTCGTTCACAAGCGGTGGTGGAAGAAGCAGAGCCGGGCACCCGGAGGGCTCTGGAGCGTCGACGATGCTGCCAGAACTTCCTCCGAAGGTCCGGGAGCGCAAGGGCACAAGGGAAGCGCTCTCGTCTCGCCAGACCGCTCGCTCGGGAGGCACAGAGGCGGCCTGAGGGTGGGCCACCCCGGCTCTCTGCCTCCGCGGCTCCATCCCCAGCCCCAGGTCAAGTCGTTGCCCTGAGTGCGCCAGAGTACTCCAGGTCCCGCGGGACTGAACTCCGAAAGAGAAACCTGGAGGAGGGTCTCCTGACGCCACGGACACGCGGCCTTGGGCTGAGCGTTCTCTCTGCTCCACGGATGCCATTTCAGGGCAATGCCATCGGTCTGGAAGGGCTTCTACACCGCCCCCCTGCAGGGGTGGGTCTTCCTTCCGTGGGAACAGGGAGTCTTGGGGGGCTCAGCAAGCAGAACGGGTCCGAGCCATCGCGCTTCTGCGGAAGCACACGCACCGCCGTGCATCCGAACGGCCCATTTCCAAACCAGCCGTGTGGCTGCTGCAGAAGGCCGCTGTCCTCACTCATGGCGGCACGGCGGCGGGACCCTCTCCCCCTCCCCAGAATTTCTCCCCCAGCTGTTTCACGGTGTGCTCCCTGCGTGAGTGTGCGGGTCGTGGGGGGTTCACATGCTCTAAGCTGCACTCGGCTTGCCAATCGTTCGGTTTGCATCTGGGGTGCAGAAGGAGGCAAAGTGGTTCCCTTCCGCAGGGGAGCCGCGTCCTCTTCCTTCCTCGGGATGCCAGCGCCACCTTTCGCACGCGGCCCACGGCTTGCGGCCTTGCAAGGACTCGCTCGCCTTCCCCTCCCCAGCATGGCTGGCCCGGCTGCCGCCTCTTCCGGGGCCCAGGGAGGCCTGGCAGACGCGGGAGGCGAAGCGGGGAGCCTGGTTGGCTCCTGGCAAACCCGCCAAGTCTCCGGGGCCCCTTTGCTGCAGCCGCCACCCATCTCAGCAACTGCCGTGCAGGCCGCGCTGTCCCGTCGAGGGTTCCCTGCGGCCAGAAGCGCCGCGAGCGAGGCTGCTCTCGAGGCCTGGGGCAACGGGAAGGCAGCGCCTTGCTTCGGAGTGGGGTCAGCCGGCTGGCCCTCGGTGCAGGCTCGCAAGGCAGCCGGGTAAATCCAGAGAAGTTTGCAGCCTCCCTCAGCTCCACGGCCCTTCCTCCGTGGCCGGGCCATCAGGCCTCTCCCGCCACCGCTTGCTGTGATGCACCATGCCGCCGTGGCCTCCATTCACGGTCGACAGTGCTGACCCGGAGGGCATCCTCGGTCCTTGCGTGCGAGGCCGTGTCCAACGCTCGGTGCCCTGGTGCGATTCTGCCGTCCGATGCCCTGAGAAGAAGGGCTGCGGCTGGTCGCCAGCCAGCCCCTTCACCGGAGACACGGGGGCTGGCCTTCCAGCAGCGCTTTGCGCTCTCGACTGAGCTCCGTGACATGTGCTCCGATCCACGGCAGGGCAAGGCACCCGGTTAGGAGCAGCGCACGGACGGACGGGAGCCGCCTCGCCCCGCTCGCCCCTGAAGCGGCTGCTGCTCTCCTCAGAGTAGGGCGTGTGGCACCGGGGAGGCTCAGGCCTCCTCGCTTCACCCTCTGCTCTCAGCAAAGCGCAGATGAAGCGCAAATAATGCCTGCTGAGCTGAAGCACTGAGCCAGTTTTTGCACCCTGCTTGCAGTTCCCGGGTTGTTTCATCCAGAAGCCGCTGCGGGAGCAGAGCAGTGCAGTCTGCACCGGTTGCGTGTGCCTCTAATTAACGGTCTGGGGACACCCTGCTGCTGGATTATTTTGTGAGCTTGGAAACCCTGGCTGATTCGTTGGTTGAACAACCCAGGGCTTGCTGGGTTAACCTTGGGTGGTTTTGCCCATAACAGCACAACCGAACCGAATCCCTGGTTTGCACATCGCAAGGTGGACCATGATGCTGAAAACCGTGAAGGTTCAGCTGGCTGGCTTCGCTCATCCCTGCCGTTGCTTCTGTGGCGTGCAAACCCCGTCTAGAGGGAAGACCCCGGTGCAGATGCCCTTGCGTTCCGAATGACTGGCCTTCGCCACATTAGAGTTGCCAGCATGCGTTGTCCCCCAGACTTCTGAAACTGGGGGGACAGGGGGTATTTCTAGTAGAACAGTGGCACAGTTCATTTACACAGCACTGCGCTCCTCACTCGACTCTCTTTAACGAAATGTAAATGAACGAGCTACGTATATCTGGAGAGAGCGGTCCCTTTATCCGAACCTGGCCAATCCTCACCTTGAATTTGCTGGGCACGATGAGTTTGGGAGTCTCTAATCCGAGTGCAGCATCGATTCCGCAGAAGAGGAGGATGGTCAGGATAATGGAGAAATCCCCCACTAGTCTTCTCAGCTAAGAAACCGAATAAAAAAACCGGCATCAGCTTTGCAAAACAAAGCCTGCACACAGCAGTCCAGGGTAAGTCTTTCCACCTAATTAGTCCCCGAAGTTAGAAAAAGAAGACAACAACACTGGGATAATGTGTTTCATGTAGTGAACATGTGATCTGGCACAAGGCATCCTTCTTCATTTCTATGCATCAAAACAAGGCATTGCGCTTCTTGTGCACCTGTGGGTGCCTCCATGTGAGGGTGTGTGATGGACTTTGGAAGACCTGGGGGAGTTTATAAAGTGTTAGCTGCAGTTTTGGAAGCCAGCCACACCTGGCCCAGGGATGGTGGATGATCCTATAGGATCGGATTGTGTTGTGAGAGAATAGTGGTAAGCAGCACAAGAAGGGAGTGCAAAATGAATACATCCCAGGTAGGTACCTTGAGGAAATACTCTACATTCGTTTAAATAATGAACGTTCTTGCTTTGTTTCTATGCCTGCTTCTTTTGAGCAGTCACGAGGGATAAATGGGTGAGAGGCAAGCAGCCTTGAAACGCCAGGTGCAAATCCAAAAAACGATAGTAAGGCAAGTGTTTGCAATGAGTGGCGAGGTGCGCGCAGGGTGCGTCTGCCCTTCCTGTGGCTCCACATCGGCACTCAAGCGTGAGGAAGCTGGTGCGCGCACCAGGTCTTCCAGGCAATGGTGCAGCGCCCCCCTTCTGAGAGGGGCCGTTGTTAATTCTTCTGCTATTAAAAAGTGGCAGCTCAGTTCCTTCCTTACATCAAATTCAGGATGCTCCCGCTCCCCGAAAGCATCTCGGGCCCTGCACCCGATTGCCAGCAATCCCCCTCGCAAGCGGGAGCCTGGGAGCAGCTGCGGGGTTTTCTCCCCGGACAAAGGCCCCGCGGTGACAGATGGCGAAGCCTAAGGAGGTAGCTGCAACCGGCCACCCACAAAGGGGGCCGCCATCAGAGAATAGGCAGGAGGCGGGAGCGACTCACCACGGTGGGGAAATAGCGGCTCGACTTGAAGTTCTTCAGGGCCATGGAGCAGAGGAACGTCCCCAGGAAGAGAATGAAGCACACGAAGGTGATGTCGGGGACGTAGTTGCAGCTGCTGCCCACCAGGTGGCCTCCCAGGTGTGCACACTCCTTCCTGGTCAGCAGCGACCCGTTCCCAAAGTCCAGGTGCGGCGGCTGTGGGGGAGAGCGGCTCGAGGTCGGTCCGGGGGGCGAGCGTGGGCTGCCAATGCGTGACAGCCCAGCGTGAGCTGGACGGGGCATCGTCGGCTGAGCTGGAGGGGCCGCAGGGGTCTCACGGTCATGCTAGCGCATGGTCTCCATGGAAGTTTCCGGATCCCTGGGCTGCCTGCGTTTTCCTATCTCTTCTCCCATTTTTTCTCTCGCTGCAGCTCAGCGAGGGAAGATCGGAGTGGCAAGCAAGGCCTTCTGCTCGCAAGCCCCAGGAGTCCCTATATCTGGACACGAGAAGTGGCCGTTCCCCTGTACGCCTCACTAGTTCGACCCCCACCTGGAGTCCTGTGTCCAGTTCTGGGCACCAAAATCTAAGGAAGATGCAGGAAAATTAGAAAAGGTCCAGCGGAGGGCGACCAAATGATCCAGGGTTTGGGAATGCTGCCCTGTGAGGAGGGACTGAGAGAGCTGGGCATGTTCAGCCTTGAGAAGAGAAGGCTGAGCGGGGACATGACATCCCTCTAGAAGGACCTCCAAGGCTGCCACAAAGAGGAAGGTCGAGATCTCCTCTTGCTGATGCCAGAGGGCAGGACACAAATAATCAATTCAAGCTGCGACAGCCCAGATTCAGGCGGGACACCGGGAAAAGCTTCCTCACGGTCAGAGCAATACGGCAGTGGGAACAGCTGCCTGGAGAGGTGGGGGGCTCTCCCCCACTGGAGGCATTCAAGGAGAAACTGGGCAGCCCTCTGGGTGGGGTGGTGTGACGTGGTGTCCTGGAACAGCAGGGGGTGGGCCCGACGGCCTTCATGGCCCCTTCCGACTCCACTGTTCTAGGATTCTATAGGATGTTGTTCAGTTACCCCCAGCCATTGGTCCTAGTTTGATTTCTTACCTCTCCAGAACTGCTGAGGGTGGGGAACAGGGTCCTGTTCAGAAGAGAAGAGTTCCCTGCAAGAGACAGTCACGCCAGGGCATCAGGCCTTTCGCTGGATCGTTGCTCAAAGGCGGGAGAGGGCAGGACGTTGGCCGAGGAAGGTGCCGCGTCCGTTGCTCGGAGGCTCGGCACGGGGGCTAGCGACACAGCCTTCCCCGACCCTGTGCCTTGCAGACACGTTTGGACTGCAACACCCAGAATTCCCAGTCACTGGCCCTGCTGGATGGGGATGCTGGGAGCTGTGCCCCAAATGCCTCGGAAGGCCCCCGGTTGGGGAAGGCTGCTGGAGAGTTTCCCTGCATGTGTCTAAAACAGATCCGAAGCAGGGTTTCTTCTCGCGGAAGGGGGCGGGGCGGGATGGTCCAGAGGCTGCGTTCTTCCCAGGTGAGCAGCAGGCGCTTAATTCGCCGGGTCGGGAGGCAAACAGCCAAGATGAGCCTGAACCGGGTCCCTTTCTAAGGGTCCCTTAGAGCATCAGAGCAGCCCTGCTGGATCAGAGCCAGGGAGACCACCTGAGCCCAGGCTGGGCCACCTGCTCGGCACCTGAGTTGCCTTGGGCGACGCCGCAGGCGAAGGCCGCCGGTGATTCCCCGCCACGGCCCGCTTCCCCCGAGCTGAGAAATGGGCCGTGATTGCAGATGTGCCGACTGACCGTTTGGAGGGAGGGATGCCAGGAAGCCCGGCAGGGGGCAGTTTGCCGGGTTTCCAGGCCCCCGCAAGACAGAGTCGTAAACTGCCTCTGAATCATTTGCTTGTGAAAAACGGCAACAAGGGGCGCAATGCCTTGCCAGCCCAGGCCTGGTTCCAGGTCAGGGCAAAATATGTTTGACAGGGGCGCGCGTGACCGTCTGGGTGCCACCTAAGCGCTTATATGCTCTTTCACACCTCAGCAATGAGTAATTGAAATTCGCGGTGTGGGTTTCTGTTCAGTTGTCCAGGATTCGTGGCCTCATTTTGGGTTTTAGGCCTACATTTGCATTGCCCAGCAGCTCTTGGATTTCCCGGTGCTGCTTTTATACCAAACATTTCTTTATCTTATGGTATTTATTTATTTAAGGGATTTCTATACTGTTTAATTAGATGAGCTCTCAGAATCGTGCACGGAATATACGTTAAAATATCACAACAACCAATTTGAAAACAAACGTAAAAGAAAGCTGGTCAGACTCAGGACGACCTCTGAACTATAAAATTGGACGGGCCGTGCTAAAACCAGCACAAAGCAGCGCCTACCGACATGACGTGCTTCGCCCTGGAGAGAAGCGGGTCCAAGGGAGCTTCTAAGTGGGATGGGAATATTGAAACGGGTCGTTCATAAAACAGCGCGAAGCCAGAGCGAGCGTCTGCGGGCCTCCGCTCCAGCCCACCCATCGCAGGGGCGCAGGCCGCCCACTTTACCTCTCTCGGGCATCCCGCAGGAGCACCTGTATGAAGTCACCCGGCTGATCTTGTAGTCCCAGTTGACGGGGTAGTGTTCGGCCAGCGACAGCATCTTCTTGGCCGCGTCGTAGATGAAAATGCAGCTGATGAGGGCGCAGAACCCCTCCTCGGTGAAGCGTGTGAAATACTGCACCAGGTGGCTGGCCTCCGTGGCCACCAGCACCAGCCCAAAGAAGGCCACCCAGAGGCCGATCCAGAGGCGGAATTCCAGGTAATCCAGGTGGTAATCCCTGTGGGGAAGGAGGAGCCAAAGGCGCTTTCCTGAATGGGCCGGGCGGTTGCCTGGAAGCGGTCAGCCCGAGTGGGTGCTCGGCAGGCCCGCCTCTGCCCGAGCATCTCAGAATGACGTTGTGCCCCAGCCGGTTCAGCAGCGGGTCCACATGCCCCTCCTGAACGCAAGAGGCGCCGGGGATCCGGCCGCCCTCAGAGCCACACACCCACCGATCCCGGCTTGGTCCTGCCACAACTTGCCCTGTTGGGCAGGGTATTTACGTATTTCCTGGAGGGCAGCAAGAAGCGCGTGGAAGGCAAGAAGGGGCTGGGGCAGGCTGGCAGGGCCACGCCGGAGGGCCACGCGGAGGAGGCCCCCGCGGCCTTTCTGCGCTTCCCGGGGCGCTTCCTCATTTGCCACCAGAGCGTCTGCAGAGCAACAGAAGCCGTCTTTTTTCCTTTGGGGCAACGTGTGGGGCAAACGTGCCCCTTGTTTTAAAGCAAAGCTTGCCTCTGTGGTTGGACTGTGTGGAGACTTTTGTGTGTAGGAAGGGATAGCGGAGTTTTAAATAAACAAACATACAAATAAATAAATAGTGAAAACTGCACTCGCAGAATCCCTCGGCCTCTCGAGCAAGTATCCTGGCTGCAGCTGAGGTGATTTCTCTGCCCGGTGAAGGAATACTGAATTTACTCTCCTTGACCCTCCTCCCAACCGTGCGTGGAGTGACTCCTGTTCCACTGGGAGACCCAGCCAGGTGTGGGTGTGTCCTGCGTACTCTGCAGTTGAATCAGCCCCGAAAATCCATCGACTGGCTGTCCGATCGCAGTGCACAGAATCCAAATTTGGCCCGCACTTTTTCAAAGCAGGATTTTTCAAGATACTGTGCGTGAGCCGGACATTCATAAGAGAAACGGTTTGACATGCAAAAAAGAGTCGAACGATTCCTTGAGCAGGTGCGGTTGCAGGTGTGGCTGTAATAAGCAGCTGTGACAATCAGCTCGGAAGATGGCAGGGCCAGCTCATGGCTGAGAAGAAATCAGAACATCGCGGAAGGTGCGACTGCAGGACGCGTCGCGCTTTAAGCGGGTGCGAAGGTGGGCTACGCTTACCTGCTCTTGTCTTCCAGGTGGGGCAGATTCATGTGCAGAGCCCTATCAAGAAACACCCCAAGACCCTTCCGTGGTTCTCCCTTCCACAAATTTGTTTGTACCTCTGGCCTTATCATAGTTGATTCAAAATCTCCAGCAATTTAATGTTAAAGACTCATGTAAGTTATATATTTTTAATCTTGGGGGGTGGTTATTAAGGTTCTTCTATATATTTTATTATTTTATTTATTATATATTTTATTATTTGATCAGTTTTTTGTTTATTGTAGGTCTTTTCTGTACCAGCATCACTGAGCCTTATCTAAAAGGTCATTACCCAACCTAATCCAGAAATCCAAACTGGACTCTCGTGACCTGATGCCTAGAGCGAAAGAGACAGAAGACAACTGGTACCGGATGAACCAAAAGATTGGGGGCTCTTTCCCGGAAAATGGCAGGCGGGGAAACCAAACGGCGGACGGAGCACCTCTCAGAACACAACGTGGTGTCATCTGTCTGCAAGAAGCATGCTCAAACGAACACACTCCACCGTCCGTTCAGGGCGCCGAGAGTAGAAATGGGTGTCTGTGCGTCAGTTCTTATTTCCCTCCCACTCACAGCTTGTGCCGCAGACGGGAGGCGCCTTGGCCATCGGGTGGCCCCCCCGCCCCTGCTTGGGAAGAAGGGGCTCCTGGCGCTTGTGCCCGGAGGGGCAGAGGGCGGTCTACTCACTTGCTGAAGGAGAAGAGGAGCCTCTCGAAGACCAGGACGGGCCCAGTGCTGCTCAGGATGGTGAGGGGCTGGCCTGCAAACAGGCAGAAAAAGGCTCCAGCGCAGGCCGTGCCCAGGAAATTCTCCAGCACACCCTAAATTGGGGGAGAGAGCCAGGGGTCGGTCCTGCTGGCGGAGGGGCCGGGTTGTCCCGCTGGCACGGATCCGGAGCTGCCAGGTGGCCGTCCCCCTCCGGCCGCCGCAAAGGGCGGCAGACGGGCAGGCGGCGCGTTGCCAGCACAGACCTGCATGTTGTCTGTGGCGTCGCCCAGCATCCCCCCGAAGGTGATTGCGTTGGTGACCGTGGCCAAGTAGATGTAGAGGACGGCCGAGAAGCACTGGACGTGGAGGGCGTCGCGGAAGTCGCTGCCGTACCAGGGGGCTTTCCTCCGGAGATCCCGCACTAGCCCGCCAAAGAGTCTGCAAGGAAAAGGGAGCGCCCCTGATTTTGGGCTCTCGTTGGCTGTGGGTGGTTGTCTGGGATGGGGTTTCCCTTGCCCTGAAGCACAACCAGTCCCTCCTCCTCCTCCTCCTCCTCCTCCTCGGCATGCGCCCCCACTTTGGTGGCCTGCACGGGAACCCGGCCCTGCCGCCAGTCCCTCCCAAGGTGGCTCACCTTCCCGTCCGCTTCAGTTCTTCGCTGGCGGGGTGGTGCCCAGGAGCATGGGAGCTCAGGTCCTCCGCGGAAGAGACGTTCCCATTGGAGTGAGGGCTCCGCTCCCGGAGGTGCATGGAGATCCTAAGGGTGCACGCGACGGGCACACCTGACGCTGACGCCAGGCGTGTCTGCACACAAAAGCATCCTCTTTGGCGGTGGGGGGCTCTCTTCTTCCACCCCCCTCCATTAGAGTCCAGCTCTTCCACCGCCACCACCCCGGCTTCCCACGGGATGCGTGGAAAGAAACTCCCGGCAAAGAGCCGAGCAGGAAGGCGCCTTCCGCAGCCCAGCGTTTATCCAGGCAGACACCTTCCTGCCTCGGTCCTCACAGCCTTGGGGGACTGCAGCTGCCTTGCCCTCTTGCCCTCATCCGGAAGACAGTGAAGGCAAAACGGGAACCGGCACAGCGTTGCGCAACAAGGGTTAAATGGCTGGTCGGAGAAAGACGTGTCCACCACTGGTCCAAGTGAGGTCTTCCTGGGCCAGGAAACGGGACAGGGGCATCCCAGAGTGGACCTCTGGCACGCTTGCTCTCCAGCCCAAAGTGTTTCCGATCCACCCCAGGGCTGCCCCTCCCCGGACAAACCTCTTCTGTGCGGACGGCAGGCACTTCGGGGGAGCGATCCGGGTGGTCGGGTCCCACTTGCCCGGGGGAAGGACCGTCAGCTCATCCAAGAACTCATCTACTCCGGCAAGGAGCTCCTGTACCCCACTCGCCTTCTGGGCAACTCTCTGGAAAAGCTGCGAGGGGAATTAGCGCCTGAGCTCGCACAGGGAGGCCTGCGGGGGCTGGGCTCCACAGCCACGCGCAAAAGACCTGTCTCGCGCCCCTGAGATGCCGAGGAAACCAGCGCTGCCGTTCAGCCCAGGAGGGACGGGTGGTCCTGCCACGTGCGGCAAGCCTGGAGGGACTTCCCGTCAGTCCTGCGCAAGACCGCTTGGACTCACACCCAACGAATTCAGTGGGGCTCCCCGCCAGTTGAGTGCACACCTGTTGGACTGCAGCCTCAAGGGCTCATTGAAAGGACAACGCACCATTGCAGCCTGTGAATCACGATGCTGCAAAAATTTAATATGCAATGAGAAAGTAAGCTGCTGATACTTAATTGCTGCCGCAGCCTCTCGTTAGTCTGCATCGTGATTGCAACTTGTAACGAAGTTGTCAAAAAGGCGATTGCTGCTGTGCATGATCTTCCCCCAAAAGCGGCTTCTCCGGATTGGTGCCCTTTCTTTTCAGACTGATTGCTATTCTCTTTGTTGCCTCTTCTCTAGAATCCAGAGGGCAGGTGCCCTTAAGACACGCGTCTCCGGAGCCGAAGGAAGCTTTGCTCCAGCCACACAGTTCTGTTTCCGGCCAAGAAAAGCGGCTGTCTATCCCACAACCGTTGTGGGCGCATCCTGGCCGGACTGCAGCGATTCCACGTACACCCTCACGGCTCCCCAGACTCACCTCGTCTGTCAAGAGAACGGCCGCAGCTCTGCCAATTTCGTGGTACGCCCTCGCTTTGGCTCTAGGTCCCAGGAGGATAAAAAGGAACCTAGGCAGAGGCGGAGGGTTGCACGAAGGTGCGCACAAGCAGCCCCCTTCCCTTCCCTTCCCTTCCCTTCCCTTCCCTTCCTT